ACTGTTTTTTTCTTTCATTCTTTCTAATTTTCAGGTATCTGCTTGAAATAGTCTTTTATTTTTTCATAATGTATCATTCATTCACAAATCTTCAGTCAAGCATTTCTCGAGAGCATATGGAAAATTTGATTTATTGTTAAAAAAAAAATCAATTTTTAAAACAGACAATGTTGCTGGCCCAAAGCAGTGATAAAATTTTGCTTTCAAAATTGAAAAAGAAGAAAACAGAGAGAAAAATGTGAAACAAACTTTGTGCTATGTCTTCATTCCATTGATTGAAGATAACACAATCATGATATATAATGTCACTTGGAGTCAATATAGTCTTACTGAATTCTGTAGTAAGAATATAAGGCTTGCTCCTGGTGATGATTCTCAGCATCAGTATAGTGATTTTCCAAGCCTAGTTTAGATGTGGCACAAGGCCGAAATTATGGGGCACCCAGTGAGGATTGAACTCAGTACTCGGTCATAATTGTTTTAGCAAGACAAGCTTGCTAACCATTACACCGCCTTGGGGCACCCTTAGCATCAGTATATATGCTATTTGGATGAGTCCAAGTCATATTACATCTCCACAACAGTTTGTTTTCTTAAACCGTATATTTACCATTTTATAGAAAGATTTATTGTGATTCATTTAAGTAGATGGTCACTCTACAAAATAATTTAAGTAGCTGGTCCCTCTAGTTACATAATAATTTAATAGATTGTCACTCTAGTTACATAATAATTTAAGTAGATGGTCAATCTAGTTACATAATAATTTAAGTAGATGGTCACTCTAGTCGCATAATAATTAATATATATTGTGTTGCTATTGGAGATATGATCTCACAACTAGCTTGTATTAAACATCAGACAAAACACAAAATTTCAACACTAGAGTTAGATCTTCTAGTTGGTATTGATGTAAAGTATCTGTTCTCATTTTATATTTTAGAAGATACTTGGTCATGGGATTCCATTCCTGTGGCAGTACCTCCCTCATGGCACTAAAAGAGCATGGAATATTGACAAAAATATGACAGTGATTTCAACAACTAGGCAATTTGTGAATTGGCTGAAGTCAACCCCACATTAAAAAAGACCTTATGTCATATCTTGCTACCATGGCAAGGCAAGTGAATACTCACTACAGTTTGATGTTTTCATCAACAAAAGGTAGAAAGTCAAAGTTTGAGTGTCCTATTTAAGTTAAGGGGTTGCCTATCAAACTTAATCTCTTTGGAATGTCCTATACTCCCTATCGCCTATGTGGACTGACTATATCAGTAGATATATATAGTGAGCACAGTATATACCTGAGAGTTTGCTTCAGGAATTACTAGCCTGCCACCTGATTCCCTATCTTTCAGTAGTGTATTCTCTTTTACAATAAACCTCTCCTTTTTTCATCTGTGCACGTTTTGTTGTTCCTACACTTGAGTACCACCTTTGTCTGTTTGTAACCTTTTTAAGTATACAATATTCTTCAAATTCTTTCTAAGAACTCTTTCTTATCTTCACATACTGAGTTAAACACTTTTATAAAAAAAATATTGACTAAAGAACATGAAAATATGTTGTGTTTTACATTTGTGATCTTTAAATATTGTCCATATGAACAGAAATATTACCTTTCGTTGAAATATTGTTTTGTTCACTTTATTTATTAAAGAATGCAAAAATATCTTCTATATTTCCATATTTCAGCAATTCACAAAGAGAACTATTACTTTTTAAACTAAAAAATTTCATTGAAATATTTTGTTCACTATTTTCACTTGTCATTTAAGATACTGTGTAGTACTAAAACAAAAACTGAATTTTGCTTAATATCTGCTTTTACATTTGTTTTTAATGTTTCTCTTGCTTCTTACTTTTGCCGCCATTGCTTATTAAAAACATATCTGTTGAATTAATACATTCTGGTATTAAATTCCTAGTCTTCTCATCTTAAATACAAGGTATTTTTTAGTTGAAGTCAGAATAAAATAGTTTTTGTTCAGCAAGTGTTAAATAGATATATTTGTTGTGGATCAACTCAAAACAAAGAAAAAGGCCAGAGAGGCTAGTAAATGTGAAAATATAAAATATTTTTATTTTTGTGTTTTTACAAGTAAATTTTTCTCAGTATGTATGAGTGTTAAAGTTCCTTGTTTGTGGTTGTTTGCTAAGATGAAAAGAAATGTGATTTCTTTTCATGTAAATGTCATGTAGCTTGGTGAGGAAGAGTGTAAGTATCACATAGTTTGGTGAGGAAGATGGGTGAATGAGTGAAGGAATCTCTTTTAAGTCATTCATCATGAACTATTGCCATCTGCTGTTGTTCCTTACTGGCTTGCCTGGACTATAAAATTTGTTTAAATAGTCTTTAAAGGGATAATGAAGTATGTTTTTTATTGTTGGAAGGAATGTGACCCTTTCGTTAAAAAATGTTAAATATTTATTTATAAAGGATTAATTTATTAACCAGAAGGATGTGTGAATTCTCTAACTCAGACAATCTTTTGTCATTTGATGATTGACTGTCTTGATATTTATTTTCATTTTCATTCCACGTATCAACCGCTGTGACTTTAGCACAATCATAAAATGCTTAAATGCATCTACCCAACTAACCCTGCCTATACGAAAAATCCTCGTAGACAACTCAGCAATAATAAGAACATTTAAGTGTGAAAAAATGTCTAAAATTATCAGAAGCACTTCTTATAAAAACACCAAACCAGCACATAAGAATAAGTCCAGAATATTTTCAGTGTTCAGAAACTAAGCAAATATCTCCACTAAGAAAAAATTACTTCTACAAAAATACCTCTTCCCCAAAACTGTATAAAAAACAAAAGGAAAATATATGAATAATCATTGTTTTCACATGAATTAATTTCCCTGCTTGAAAATGACTAAAGTATTATCCAGAAGCATTCAGGAATCCTGTTCACCCCATGCAAGGCAGTCAAGCCTCTAAGACACAAAGGATTACTGGGTGTGAAAGAATTAGAGACAGAAACATTACTAAGGAGAGAGAACAAAAAGAGTAATCAGGTGGACAGTAGATAGTGACTGACATTGCATTTAAATTTTTGAAGATTAAAGTTGGCTGGAAAGCATGGAGTTGGAAGTGAGTTCCACAAGCAAGAAGTGTGAGAAAAGCTAAAAAAGAATAACTTTTAGGAACTCATGAGAAATTAGATAAAAATCACATGATAAAAACATTCTTTACTTGCTAGATTTAATGAAACATGCATAAAAGAAGGATTACCACCCAAATATTCAATATAAGGCATGTGCAAAAGAAGTCTGTATTTTTTGTTTTTAATTAAAAATGGGTTCTTTATTGTTTATTCAGCATCTAATTTTTAAAAAATGGGTTCTTGGAACTTTTGCATCTATCTTATAGATTTTGGTCTAATCTTACCATAGACTGCAAAGCTGGAAACTATGTCGATTGCTTCTAATTGGAATTCCTGGTTTGAGGGTCTTTGGCAACTGGTGATTGTGTGTACCAAGTTAACTTCCTATTTCTTTAGCTCATATCAATCCCCCTTCATATTTGATTGAAAGCCATGCCATTATGTCTCCAACCAGCTCTTTTTTTCCTCTTCTTGTCTACTTCTTTCCTCCTCCAACTACTCTCTTCAACTATCTTCCTCCAACCACTACACATTTTCTTTAAGAAGGCAAGCAAATATGTTTCTTTAAGCTTTTAACTATTTCAGTCTTTTTTTGTCTCACAGCCATTTTTATCATTTTTTTCTGCTTTTTTTTATCTTTTCCTGACATTTTTCATTTGCTTCCAAATATATTCATACTTTTTTTTAATTTCATCCTTTTTTTAAAAAAAAATCATTTTAATTTCATTCTTTTTCTTCAATTCATTCTCTTTTCATCCATATACGTTTTTGCTTTTCTTTCATAAAAACTTTTTACATAGTTCAGATTATCCTCTCATTTTTTTATCTCGTTTCTTTCATTGTTATATAGCATGATAGATAACACAAGAACCTTTTTACTAACTCATTTTTATGAGTCTCTTGTCAAATGTGGCATAATTTCAAAATATATAGAAATGTGACAATATGGCAAATGTTTGGAACAAATTCTTGAAAATAATAAAGTAAAATCTATTGATATTATAAATCTAGGAAGAAATGTAGATTTTTAAAATTTCAGGTCAGTTTTATAGCATGTGATCATTAGCTCTATTCAAATTTATCAGTTTTTTTTTTAAATCTTTTATACATGTAAATTCATAGCATCATTATTCAGTTATCAAAATATTTTCCTTGGTTAACTATGACTTTATTCTACATGTCAGGTAAATTGTGTATTCCATCATGAAAAGTGATTTTGTTTATTTTTTTCAATATCTTCAAGATTTTTTTGGAACTGTTGACCAAACAAGGAATGTTGAATTGAGCAAAACAGGTTATTGTCTGAAGGTGAGATGTTAGGAAAATTATGGCACTTATTTTAAGATCTTCTTTTATCATTTCATTGATTGTTTGTTGTATTATATTTGCAATATATCATGTCATACATCAAAATCACCAATTGTTTTGCTCATCCAGCATATCATGTTGGTAGCAGGCTCACAAAACTGCAAGAACTCCTAAAAAAGGTAATAAAAGAAAGCAAGAAGAAAGGACTAACCATAAAATGTCAGAAGACAAAATATATAATCATTAGCAAGAGGGATTGCTGTGATCGAAAATTGGAAATATTAAAATCAAAGAGGTACAGAAATTTAACTATCTGGGAAATGTTATTGATTGATTGTTTTTTACATCTTATCAACCTTTTGTAGGTTATTAAAAGCCAGAAAAGATTTGTAAGTAATGAATTTTACTAATACAAATCATACTAATTAACACATATGTGGGGAAAGAAAAAGGTTAATTCATACCTTTCCTGAGGGCATTTGCATCTAAGTGTATATAATGAACCATACTGGAACTCAGCTCTTCAATTTCAACTTCTTACCTGTTATCCAATACATTACCCACAAATCCAAGCTTACAGCACCTAATATTCCACAGTGGTCATCAATCTAGGTACTGACCAGGCTCAATATTGCTTAACTTTGGGGATCGTACAAGAACTGGTGTCTTAATATGATATGACCATCAGACAGGTAGTGTTATAACAGATAACAGAAAATTTATTTATACTATTTACATTGTTCAGACTGTTCTCCACACCTTTATTGCCAGATTCACAATGTTTCAGCCATTGTATGTTTTGGCCTTCTTCAGGTGATATTTAGAACTTTGAACCAAACACTTTACTTAGTCCACAGGGCTAGATTGTTCTAATTCCACATGCCATGCTTTTTGGATATCTCAGTGTTAAGTTTTCCCCTTCAAAACTCAACTCTCTGAGATTTTTTTCTCTCTGCTGTAGTGAGGGATTAAACTCACAACAGAAAATTTGACACAGGAATCCAAAGGAACATTGGAATAATAAAAAATGCTTTCCAAAAGCTAAGCAAAGAAACTTTCAGGTAACACAAAGAAAATAATATTAAATGGCTATGCAATATCAATCCTTCTATGTGATGATTCGTCTTGCAATAGAGATGCAGAGAATACCATATAGAGTACATGTGATCAATAAGGAAGTTTTTAGGAAAATAGAAACAAAAAGAACACTTATATTTAGAAGTAGAAAGAGCCATTTGAATTTTCTAGGACATATAGTGAAGTCAGAGCTCTTGAAGAATATGACACACAGAATATATTGAGGCAGAAGGAAACGTCATGTAACCTACAGAATACACATGTGTAAATGGGTAGCAGAAAATGAATTAGGGAAGATAGTAAGGAGACTTGGTTGTTAGTCTTATATCATTTCAGCAGTTGTACTCTTCAGCCTTCTTCATGTGTTTGTCATTTTGCTTGGTAACCTTCTTGGCATTTTGTACAGAACATTTTATCCCATCCACAAGAGTGAATCATTCTCAACTTGCTTTCAATGCTTAGAGGATATTTTATATCAATTTATACTTACTAGTCTTATTTATCTTCATGCCACTTGAAATTCTTGAGCAAAAAAGCTTATTTTCCTGTATAAAACACAACTACTTTCATGTATAAAACACACCTGATTTTAGAGCAAAGAAAATGACAAAAACTTGTGAAAAAGAAAAAGAAAAAAACAGGAAAATAAAGCAAGACATTTTGTCTACTTTTCTGATTTGTAAGTATTACAAAGACATGATAATGACTCTTGGAGTATAAGACTACTAAATTTCAATACATATTAAGAAAATAAATCAAACTAAAATTGAATAAATATTAATTTCTTTCTTTTCATTTTAATTATGAAAGATTTATTTTTTTTTTGTGGCAATACATCATTAGATAGATTATCTCTTTAGTAAACAAATAAGTTCAATTTGACACAGATTTGTCCGTTTTGTGTCTTAGGAAAAATGGGAATGAGTTATAAACTGAAGTATAAGATGCAGCAAACCTTTGGACATGATTTTGAATGGAAAAACTTGTATCTTTTGCACACAGGATTACGGTATTTGTTTCTGTGGCAGCTTTGAATTCAGTCCCTGAGTCTAGTAGTGCTCAAACATCACATTCAGTGGAAGAAATGAACAAATGACATAACGGTAAATAAGTGTGTATTAACTAAGAATTAATGATAAAGAATTTAAGCTTATTTCCAAAATGTACCAATGTTGACTTAACCCTCAAAGTATAATTGTTTCGGATTTTCAACTAAAAGCAACAAAAATAAATTGATATTTAAATCATCATCTTCTATATGCCATGTCCCTTCAGGACGTTAGTGATTATGGCTCTCCACAATTTCCTGTCCTTTGTAGTGCCTAATAAATTTTGTCTTTTTGTTATCTCCTCTAAACCGTGTTCCACCATTCATTTACTCTGGCTCACTAGGTAGGTTATATGTTGTTTTTCTTTGTCCTTCAGTCTGTCCTGATTTAGAATAAACAATTTTAGACTTAGATTACTCAGTGTGTAACTGCTATAACAAATGCTGAATTCATTCAGAGATTCTTCCCTTCTTAGAGTCCAAAGCTTAACCTGGTTGAAAACCCTTTCAGTAAGGTATTTTTTCTCTTTCATATTTTTTGGTTAATCCATGACCAATAATTACATTTGATATAGAAGAGTCAATCCAATAAAACAAAATAAAAAAAAAGCTTAAGAATTTCAATCCAGAAATAAATGGAAAGTTTTTCATCTGAGATAGGACAGAATATTCGTAGGAATTGTATAATTTTCCTAAAACATCAGCATAAAAAGTAGAATGAGAACAATGATAGATACCTGAAGAAGACTTGTTGGGTTAGAGTTGAAACATTGTGAATATCACAACCAAGATGAGCATGCTGGTCAGAAGCATATAATAATGATAATGAAAGTTGAGTTACTGAAGGGAATGAAGTATAACTGACATATCCATAAAAGGTATGGCACATGGAATTAGAACAATCTATCCCTATAGGATAAATAAAGGGTTCAGTTCAAAATTCAAATGTATATCACCTGAAGAAAGCCGGAGTATACAACAGCCAAAACATCATGAATATGGCAATAAAGATGAGGGCAACAGTCTGAATGATGTAAATAGTTTCAAATACCTCATCTCAGAAATACAGAGATACTGATAATATTTCATCTCAAAAATTCCAACAAATTGGCTTTTCTTTGGCAATACTGTGCCATTGTTCATTCTCAACCGTTTAAGGTTGAAAACAGTATGTGTAAGCAAACAATGGCTTAGAAAGGGCCATCAGTTTAATTAGAATATTTTTTAATTATTTACTCTATTTTGCCAACTATTGTTATCATCTTTGTTGATCTGATCAAACGTTTCAGTGTTTGTGCCCTCTGGCCTTCATCAGGAGTATTTTGATCCCAGTAACATACAGAGAAAATGGTTGTCATCAGACCCTGTGGAAAATACTGGACATGGAAGAACACTGGCGTTAGACATCTAAAACAATTGGTGCATATCCAAGGCTATGAGGATCTCCTTAGTGAGCCTAGCATAGAAATAAATACAATATGGGAGTTATTATTAAAGAAAGAAAGACAAATGGCAGCAAAACTTCAGCAGCAGCAAAAGAGAAAAATGTCAGTCATGCATGAAAACAGCATTCATCAGCAGGCAGGTTAGGTGTTATAGCATATTGATGTAATGAGTGACTACACTATAGGTAGTAACTACCTGTAAGTAGCGCTAAGTCAATGGACTACAGAGTCTAGCTAGGATCTGTTGAGTATGACTCAAACTTATGTGACGACTACCGACCTTCCAATTGTAGCACTCACTAGATTGACTTGCGACAACCTTGTGCATAAATGTTACCTTTATTCTTATTGTACTGGTTTTTACAATAAACCTTTACTTATTTAATTCACCATGTTTGTCAAGTATATATTCCTATTAGCATGGAATATAACACATACCTACGGATGATAATGGGTATGTCCCCATTCACATAAATAAAGTAGTAAATATTGTTTGTTGGTCTGCAGTTGGAGATTCATTGTGGAATTCCCTTCTAGAAGTTGACAATTTCTTCTATGTGCCACTGGTGAATTTTATATGTGTTGTTCTTGTTCTAAGTATTATCATTCATTACCAACCTTACTGTGAATATTCTATTCAGTAACCTTTCCTAGGTTACAAGGTTTAAGGCTCCAAGTGCTTTACAAAGAATTGTCCCAGGTGACAATGGCTTAGTGGATTAAAGCATAGGTTTGTGAATTTTGTGACATAGTAATTGTGAGTTCAATCCCTGTGCTAAGCAGGATATCCTTGAATCTAACATAGACTTAATTAAACCTGAGGATTATTTAGCTTTCATAGAACAAAGAATCCTTGGTCTTTGGATTGAATAAAGGAATCTACGGTTTGGCACTAAGTATGATGGATACACATTTATTCTTCATCTCTAGGATGGACTGAGCTGTTATCTAGAATAAGAATAATTTTGTAGTTTTTGTACAGCAGGCACATATTTTTTCCCAGATTAAAATAGGTGCTGGAAAAATTGATGAACTGCCCATCCCATATTCCTTTTTTTTAATCATTTCACAACAAACAAGGAAATAATAAGATCCAAAGAGTTACTGGAAGTGAAAGAATGAAAATGAGAAGTCTTTAGAGGAAAGAACCAGAAACCCAATCATAAACAGGAACAAAGGGATAAACCTCTACTCCTGTTCAAAAGACAAGGAAGAAGTCTGAATGAGATGATAGGTGAATACCCAGGAAAACTAATGAAAGGGGTCTTGTTTCATCAAGATAATGCACACAAGTCCTTGGTTTCAATGGCTGCTGTGCATGACTGGCTTTGAACTGGTTGACTACCCTCCCTATTCTCCTGATTTAGCCCCATCTGACTATCATCTGTTCCCCAACATGAAAAAATACTTGACTGGGAACCAGTATAACAATGATGTTGTCATATCTGCTGTTGATGACTTTTTTTACCAACAGAATGAAATGTTCTTCACCAATAGGATACAAGCACTTCAACACTGGTGGGAAAATTGTGTGAGCTACAATGGGGACTATGTTGAAAAATAAACCTCATTTAGTCATTTTCCATGAGAGTATCTTGGTCAACCTATGAACTTTTTAGTCAACTCTCATATTCTTACACACCAATTAAGCTCTGGGATGGGCAGAGCAGTTTTCCAGAATAAGAAAGATTATGTTGTCTTCTGTGCTGTGGATTTCATGTGCAAGAAGTCAGATTTGAACTCTGAGCTGACTTGTACATTTTTTATGAAAAAAAAAATATGCAAAAGTCATTTAAAAAAAACGTAATTAGAATATAAATTATATAATATAGATAATATCAATATATAATTATATAGAATTAGTCATAGTGACTGTAACAATCACAAAATACACAAGCTCACTCAATGGCATCTTCCTTTCAACTGGGTCACCGTACAGCTGATTGGTTGTATATGTGCTTTAAGATCTTTTTAGATTAATTACTAAGTTTTATTAAAGACCAATAACTGGTTCTCAAGATGTTGAAAATGGTTACCTACTTCCCTGGAAGAACTCTAAAACTAAAAATTTATTTTAAGGTTTCCTTGGAAGTATCTTTTGGTAATTGCTTCTCA